GGGGGGCGCGGGGAGGGGCATTGGGCTGGGTCTGTGACAAGCGCTCGCCTCTCTCCCCTCCCTCCAGGTCCCATCGCTCAAGGGGGCGGCCCCCATCCCCTGACTCCCCTGGCCGTCCTGTGGCCAGGCCTGGCTCCAGCGGGGCATTTTAGGGTTGCTCCTGCCAGGGACCTGCCCTCTCCCGGCAGCCCCACCTTCTGCCTGCCCGGGACCACCTCTTCCCCTTCGCTGGAGCTGGGCCTTCTGGACCCTGCCCAGGGCCTTCCCTTGCCAGGTCTGACTGATTCCGGCCTTCCAGACGGTCAGTTTCCCCTAATAAGTCACTCTTTTTTTTTCCTGCCTTGCCAGCGCCTGTGGACTGTACATATGTTACACAGACGTGGTAGATGGCTTTTGATATCATTTCCCACTGTGCTCGGCATATACCAAATTCCGTTATCACTTGTTTTAGGTAAAGCCTATATAGAGTAACCTTTGGGGCTTTTTGTTGTTGTTACCGGGGATTGAACTCAGTACTGTGTGCTTGCCAGACAGGCGCGGTGCCACTGAGCTAAATCCTGTCTTTTGGGGGATTTTAGTAAGCCTTCAATACATAAGTTCTGTGCTTCAGATCACGTTCTGCCAAGACTGTGCTTTGTTGTGGGGAGTGCTGGGGATCGAACTTGGGTCCTTGTCAGGCGCCAGAACCACTGAGCTAAATCCCTGGCCCAGGACTGCTTAGTTTTGAAGTCCTATTGAGTGTGTCCTCAGGTATATTTTTTTACTTTCTCCTTTCCCCTAGGAACTGATCACAGTCTCTCAGCCCTGCAGGGCTCCATAAAATGACTGCCTTGTTCCTAAATTCAATTCATTCCTCTGTTGAAACCATCTGGGGACTTTCCTTCTGTCGGCGAAATATGCCTAGGTCTGGGGATATTTTCGTTTCTGTATTGGCAAGGCTTTCTCCAACAACTTGGAGGACAGTGTGCAGTGTCTTACAGCCTATCCTGTGAATAGACAGCCTGTGGAGCTGGTTCCATCTAATACATAAGCCCAGAGAAGTACCTGGAGTTATTCTTTTTGCCACTTCTAAACTGAGTTGATTCTATTGCCTGGAAGTCTTGGACTCTTCTTAATTCATTTAGTTCAGTGGTGAGACAGATGGATATGTCAGCCAGAGGTAGGGAGCATTGTAAGTTTCCACCTTCACTTTTTTTTCTTCTCTTATTGTGAATAATATTATACACATATAAGACATGAAATATGACGAAGAATATCTTTATTGTCACTCAGCCTAATAGAAAATTATCTCTTATGTGGAAGCCTGCAGGGTCCCCTTCCTAGCCTGCATCCCCTCTTCTCCCTACAAAAGTAAACGCTCTCCTGAATTGTGTTTATCATTTTCCTTGTCTTTTTGTAGTTTTGATACATATTTGCAATTCTAAACAATATATATTTTTAGTTATGAATGCTTTTGAAGTTTTTAGAAATACTGTTTATGTACACTGATTTTTTTAAAATAATTTTTTTAAACTATTGAGAATCAATGTTTTATCGTGGCTCTACTTGTAAATACTTTAATAAATAGTATTGTATGAATAATGTATTGTAATTCTCCTCTTGGTGACCATCTAAGTTGTTGCTTGTTTGTTAACACAAGCAGTGACACTGAAATATTTTTTCAAGGACTCCTAGTGTTCTTGTCCAGCTTTTTTTAGGTTATATTTATATGTAAGGATGGAATTGCTGTTCATGGGGTATAAACCTGGAGCTCACTAGATAATGCTGGACTTGTCCATTTGCCCCTCCACTCTTCTTACTCTTTGTATTCAGTTTTTTTGTTTGTTTGGTTGTTTTTTTTTTTTTTTTTTGTACCAGGGATGGAACTCTGGCCCTTGTGCTTGAGAGGCAGACTCCGGAACCACTGAGCTAAATCCCCAGCCCTCTTTGTATTCAGTATTCACTGCACATATATACACTTTTCTTCCCCTGTCTTTCCTTTAGGCAAATTAGGAGCCACATTAGTCTAGTTTGCTTTGGCTTGTGTGTGATGCTGTTCCTCTTGGTCCTGCACAGGTTTCTTTTCTCTTTTTATATAGGCTTATCTGTCACTGCAGTGGACTGATACACTTCTTTCAGATATAAAAGCTCTTGCCCCTTCCTGCATGGGTTCATTGTTAGTAAAAGATGCTTGCCCATGCTTTCCTCACATCCATCACTGTTTGGTGACATTTGGATAGCTGCCTTCTCTAGCTTGGATTGATTGAAAAGGCATGAGTTGACTAGCAGGAAACTGACACAGAGAGGAACAAAATAAAATCACTGATTGCTGTTGATTTTTGATGTGACCCTAAATCTCTTGGTCATCAAAAAGTCCATGTAATAAATAGCCAAAGAAGCGGCAGGCATTCTAATGAAATGGGTAATTATTATACTAACTTGGGATGAGAGGAATAGGTCAGTTTGGTTTCCTGTTCAGGGTGCATGAAGTTGTGCATGTTTACTGATCAGTTCTTGGCTGTCCTCCGACTTTGTTTTCCAGCCTTCACCCTTGTGCCTTCTATTTCCTTGTGAATCATTTGTGCTCCTTGGAGCATGCTGGTCTATCTTCAGGATGGAAAACAACACCCTGTGGGGAGAAAATGACCCGCTATTGGTGCTTTCGAGTATTGAGTCATCCCATAAATTTGAGGTCTCCTGGGTGTACTTGTTCATGATGTTTTGAATATATTAGCAACATGCAGCTCTGTATAGTATGTAAGATATATTTTCTTGTCTCTCTAACTCCAGTGAGACACAGATATAAGAGCTATAGCAAGCACTTAAGTAATGTAAGCCTGATGGTAAATCTGAAGTTAGGTGCTCCTAAGAACATTGTGGGCAGGGCAGGGATTTAGTTCAGTGGTTCTGCTGCCTGCCTTGCAAGCTCAAGGACCCAAGTTTGATCCCCAGTACCGGAAAAAAAAAGAAAAAAAAAAGAACATCGTGGGAGTTTGTCTTTATCTAGGGCGGAGAAGTGAGGGTTGAGCAGTCAAGCATTAGGAAAGTCATGCTTTCCTTCAGATGCTTGTGGAAATATAATTT